TACTAAATGTCTATAGATCAAGCCCAACATTGACTTGGGTACCGGGAAAATGTTTAAACATTGTTAAAACCGGAAATATATATATATATAAATAAATATAAAACACAATTCTGATGCGTTCCAATGCCTAGCCATTAGAACCAATTAAACACGAGTGTGTACAGTGAACAGTATCTAAAGAAAATACCCTAATGGCAGATTAAGAACATCAAGTGACATAAAATAAACATCTTTTTAAAAAAGCCAGAATGTATGAGGCAGAAATTGTGTATAACATGTCACCTGTTTCATCTCAACAGTCCTATTGTTCTCACTGTCCGCATTCACATTGCTGTCTCCTGAAGAAGCCAACTGCTTGTTCTTGTTCCAACGATTCAACAGCATGTCCATCTCCTTTTGTCGTTCAGACTGCACACTCTTAATGATGACATTATCTGATGTGATTGTATTGCCATATTCAAACATCTGAGCCAAAGCCTTACTGGATTTTACCGACAAGCCTAAAATAAGTGACAGTACAGAAAATATCTTTAATACACTTTTAACACAATCTAATAATTATCCTTTTTCACATTCCAACCATTGGCTGCGAGATCTATGGTATTATGAAGTGCAATTCACATGACCAACATTCTTGTCAGCAAACATCTCAAATGCTGGCAGCACTGATGTGTATTCGCCACCCTTGGTGGACTAGTGGTTAGCGTGCTGGCCACTGGACCCAAGGTTCGCGGGTTCAATGCCAGCTAAGGTCAATGAATTTTTAAGGGTGATAAAAATCCGTAGCACAACTTCCTTTGGAGGGGAAGTAAAGCTGGCGGCCCCATGTCATAGATTTACGGCATGTAAAAGAACCTTACAAGCATGCTATGAGATGTTTCGTAAGCAAAATTCAGCGGCTATTTCCCACTCAAGTCTCCTGATTAACTGCTAGATGACTCTGCTAGTCAACTCAGGATTGAGTAGAAATTGTGCAGTCAGTGGGCTGGCCACTCAATACTCATAAATGCACACTTCAAGACCAAGAAACCCCTGAAAAGGAGGCAGCAAAAACCCCACAACAATTGATGTGTATTCAGTGCCTATCAGTAACAAACATGCAAAGACAGGGAGACATTTTATGACATCTATCTATTACATAATAAGCAAGCGTTGGTTGATTACAATTTTCTCTTAAGAGATTCTGGGCCTTATGAGATAATATTTATGACTATGTATGCTCACAGGGGGTCCGCAGTGGCCCCGCGGTCTGAGGCGTTGGCCTTGTGCCGCTTGGTCGCTGGGACCGTGGGTTCGAATCCCACTCAAGCCATGGATGTTTGTCCGCGTTTTTCTGCACGACGCCTTGCGATGGGCCGATCCCTCATCCAAGGAGTCGTACCGAATGTCTATAGATCGAGCCAATGAAAAGTTGGGACCTGCAGTGCTCAGGCACTTGTTCCCAATATCCCTGTATGTATGCTCACTACTTGAGATTTTCCAGTAATTATTGAAGGGGAATTTGTTTGCACCAAAAGAAATTAATTTCTGTCTAACAAAGTATTTTGTATCTTTACTTACATTTTCATAGTATATGCCAGTCACATATAAGTCATGAGAATATGAGTTATTGTTTATCAAAACCCATCATCTCTCAAAAAGTATTCAAACCAAAGTCATCTGTATTTTAAGTGCTCAAATGTGTCACCCACTGGAAAACATTTCAGATGCAAATTTATAAAATAATATTCATACCCTCACCAGATGTCGGTGGTGAAGGGGCCATTTCGGCAACACTGGATTTATCAGCCTGCATCAGTCTCTGTCCTGGTGGCAAAACTTCCTTTGCTTCATTGCCAGATGCAAAGGATCCCTGCAACTGCATCACTAGCCTGCCTACCATCCTGTTCCCCCTCCCAGGAGATGAAATTTTACTTGACATATTTTTTTCTCCAGCATTACTATCTGCGAGATATTTGGCTGGAACAGGCATTGAGAATGCAGCCTTAGGGACCAAAGCTTGGCCCTTGTTGCGTTCAAACAATGCAAGCCTTTCTGATACTGACAGTTCAGTTGGGTCCTTTACATTCTTCTTTGTTGGGCTTGATTCAAAGAGAGCAGCCTTGTGAAGTACTGAACCAGTTTTTGGCGATGAATCTCCTCTGTGAGGACTACCGACACGAAGACCCATCTGTGGTACACCTGGTACACATGGACTTCCGTTCGATTTGAAATTTCTTTTTTCTGGAGAAGTGATTAACTTGTTGCTTGAGTTGCTGTGAAGACTCTTCATTCCCTTCACCAGATTTTGAGAACTCTGCATTAATAAAAACAGAATATAAAATAAACTTACTTGACTCTCAGGTATGTTTCAAACTACTATGTAAGGAATATCACTTCCAATATTTGTGCTAAAAAAGAATAAAGAAAATATGTATCTTCAATTTTTTTTGTCAGTATACTGTAGGTCAGTCCACAAACAAGATATTTTCCCAATACAATAACCTACGTAGTGACTACTGAACATCCAAAATTCATAAATATATTGTATGCAAAATATTATGACTGGAATCCAAACCAAAGTGGGTACCTGGAATAATTCACTTTTCCATAGTTTTATCTTTGCCAGGGGTGAAGGCCCACATGCAGAAATACCCACATGCTTGTCTGACTGGAGATCAAACCCAGAATTCTCTGAGTAGCAGACCAGTCGCTTACTGAGATAACTACATCCCACTTCAATTATTTATGCTCGAAAGTTTTCTCTCACAGGAAAAATAATATCTATACTGAACTCAAACGTAGAATTTTTTGTAATGTCGTTGCTAACACCACACAATTCAGGAATCTAATGCCCTTCAAAACAACCTTCTAAACCAATTACAGTACCAAATATAACGTGGGAAAATAAACATCACTGGGGACCATTGCACAAAAATAGTAATGTAATGATAAGCAAGAGTGGAGTCCATCATCCATCTGGATATTTGTGCTTGCTGTGATGTCTAAATTTGAAACAATACAAAGATGGACAGACATGAACATATTATTAATAAGGATAAAAAAAGGAATAGCAACAACTCTTTTTAAAGTCAATGGCACAGCTTGTAATTGGCAAGGACAAAATTTCTCCAAGTACTACAATGACAGTTAAAGCACCGATGCTTAAATAAATAGTTAAATATTGATTTATTCCCTTTGCATTGCTTCCTACCTGTACTGGCACCAATGTCCCTGAACCCAGCTGTGTAATAGTGGCATTTTCTTCTATTCTTGTCAGTTTGTTTTCAATTTTCTTTGAATCTGGAGCAACAGTGTTGTACATCTTAACATCATTCCCATTACTCGGTGAAGAATGTTTTGAGTAATCATACACTAATCTAGATTTAGACTGGGTGCGTGAGAATCCTAGTGTTTCCTGCAAATAAAGCAATAAAGAAAGGATATCTAACACAAAACTTCTACATTTGTCCCAGTCTTTTCTTATATACTAATCATAACATTTTTATTTGCTTATATGTCTTTCTTAAAACTACCAGAATTTCTGAAGTGGAGCGAGATTTTAAATCTGTTTTTGTAGCTTAGGTTTCAGACAGTAATCACTTGCCAACTGTGATTCTCCAGTTTACTGTTTTAAATTAGAGCACTTGCACAAACATGACTTCCTATTATATTTTCATGAAATGGTACAGCAAATATTGTAAACATGACTGTACATTATTGTTAGTACATACAAGTGTTGCAATGACGCCCTCATCTAACACAAATTCCTTTGTTTTGGTCCCTTCCCATGTGTTTTTCAAACACTGTTGGTCTGGATTCGGTTTGCTTAATATTTTGAAATTCTGTGTGTCTTCAGTATTGGTACCGTGGTCAACATCATTAACAGTTTTCCCTTCATATGAAATTTGATTCTGTAAAACAAAGTAAGTGTAAGTAGGATTTGAGTTCTTCACAGTGGTGAGTCTGAAACGTCTGTAAACTTCTACTAGACTACACGGTGCAACAACTCAGAAGACAGCCATCGTCATTTCAAAAGAGGCTTGAAGGTAAATGAAAATGTGACAATTTAAAGTAATTCCATAATTGAGTAACAGTTACAAGCCTTAGACTTTGTATTTCCCAGTTTGTACAAAATTTGAGGTTTTCACAGTGGTGATAACAATGTTGACAATGTTATTGTGGACTTGCAGGTAGATACTGACATCCATAGAAATACACTGCCTCCATCTTTAGTGCTGCTCTTCAAACACACTGGTATCTAGTTACATAACCATAAGGCATTACAGCCAACATCAGCTTATGTTCTATTTTACATACATCAGGCGAAATAGCAGCAGTAGGATGGCGAAGATCATCTTCCCACTGTTTGATGGTGTCAGCAAGCATAGCAAACCTGGCTAGCCGTACCCCTGATTTCTTTTGTTTTTGGTCTGGTACTTCTCTTTCATCTTGTTCTGCACTGAAACTTTCCTCTGTTTTATGGATTGGAGATGAGAGCTCTGAATCTACATCATCAAACAGTACATCAAACATAGTTCAGACTGAAGTAACCTCTTTCATTTTAAATAAGTTAGGAAATCTATGCACAGCATAATTATGGCATATCTACCAGAATTTGACAATTGTGAATGTCTTTATATGAAATGCACATAATATTCATCATGTATGATCAAAATCAGAATGTAAACCTCTGCAATATCAGATTTCATTAAAATAATTTGTCATTCTAAAACTGTTTCATGCATACAGATAGATTAAGCAATATTAATAGGGGTTAAATGGGAATGTATGTCCAGAGATATATGAGAAAAATAAAATTCTATCTGCAGAAGTGAAGTAAAGCTTCGGTATGCAGTCAAAGGACATACATTAAAGCCGGTAGAACATATTAACATGCTAAACCAGATCCAAATAGATGTAAGGAGCAAGGTATGAAAAGAACTCGTTATATACACTTTTGCAAAACTCTACCTAGATCACATGGTTTTTCCATAACCAGTAAACATTAAAAACGTGAAACTTAAATTTTCAGGATTTTCATCTGATGGGAAATTATATACAAGGCCATCTAGACACAAAAATTACGAAGAATAAACCTACTACACTGAAAAATAATTTTCACAAATAACACTTTTAAATATAAATTAGGACATTTTGCTAGCACACATTATGAGCAGGTTTTTAAAAACTCAAAAGTCCTTCACAGACATTCTCGACTTGTTTCAAAGTTACCCACCTGCATACAAGGCTCCAAGCCTGTGAAGTCTAGAACGAGCACTGTCTCTAATAGCACTGGTAGATTCTGGCTTTGTTTCAGAAATCTCTATGTTTATATTCTCTTTGGGTGCATCGTCTTCATCTTCGTCAGAATGTGCATTGACAGACTCAACTCTGGTTGGTGTTACAACAACACTGCTGGCAATGGATCCTGTACCAGGTTTTGCCACACCCACGTCAACTGAAATTGGTACAATTCACACATTAAACTACATTATTATTCAGTGCACCCTATCATTCAATTCTACTCAAAGATTTCTTTCAAATTGCCAGCACATATGCAGAATTCATTAACTCTTGGAATTACACCCTCTAGCAACCACTACACAAACATCTGTGGGGGAGGGAGAATTATTTACTACCTGTTTATTTAATAATGCTGCCAGTAACCCAGACCATATAGAATCAAATGATGAATAAGAAAATGGAAAGGCCATGGATGGAAGCAGTTGTGTCCTTATTTAAGGTACAAACCAGGCATTTGCCTGTTGGAACTGTAAAAAAACCTTGAAAAGACTCAGTTGAGATAGCCAGACTTAAGTTTGGGACTTCCCCAATACAAAACAGTGTCAGACATCACAAACCAATTTAATGAAATATGACCTGTTTCCACAGCAAGGAAAATGTGGATTATGGTTTTTTGGTTCTGATACTTATTCTGAAGCTGTAGGCGATATATTCCTCCAAGCATCTGTAATCACTTACAAGATTGCACAGTGTCACAACCCGGAAGATCAAAATCCCTAATAGGATTGAAGTCCACACGGTTCTTATCCTCTCCTTTTTTAACTCTACAATCACTTAACAAATTCAATTACAAGTACTACCTTCTGTGGTCCCTTTTATTCGTTGTATCTGGTTGTATTCTTGCAAAGGATTGCGTTGATCCATGGACTTTAGCTCGTCATTCGGCATTTCTTTAAAGCACTTTTCTCGACGAGCTCTGGATCTAGCCATCATTCGCTATAAAAATAAATTCTATTATAATCCAGCCTGGAAGCATTTCAGTTAGATACCATGTATCACTAAACCCTTATTACCTGTATGAATGGATCCATGGTCTATATAAATGGAATGCTATATACAAATTCGTCAAAAAATTAATTCATACGGCTCACATACACAAACTTATGTATTTCACTTAGGAAAGCAATAGACTCAATGGACGTAATACCCTAATAATGGACTGCAATCCGTCTCTGAAATAACAGAACTTCTTACCGCAACCGAAACGTATGCAATGTCACTTGTTTTGAATTTGAGAAAATTTTAAACTCAACCGCTGAAAACACGCATAGCCAACGTACCAACATTTACATCACATTGTATGTCATATTACTGTGTACAACATAATTATAAATTGTAAAAGTGTTATTTATATATCATTGACGATACGTTAACCGTTCTTACCAAAATATCTTTATATGTTTATATGGCATGTATGTTTATTAAGAGATGTGGGAAAATTATATTTGGACGCCAAATGTCCCTACATATTGATATTCGATAGGTGGTATTCTGAAGTTGTAGCCGAGACAGCGTTCCATTGCACAGCTTTCATTATGTGGAGCGATCCATACTCCTCTGATTAATTCATTTTATATTTATATTCATTCTATAAAAATTATTATATTAAGGGATTATTATGGCAAATAAAGCTAAAGATAAACACTACGCTAATCTGAAATAAAATAAAGTCACTTGAGGCCCTTGTTTTGTCTAGAATTGTACAAAATAAATTGTTTACAAATGGCAGCTGCCAAATTTGCAAGTATATCATATGAGCAACTGTGTAATTATTGAGCATAAAGAATGGCACAAGCAATGAAAGATATCCTACAAGTAGAAATAGCTGAACTGTACGTAAAGACTATTGAACCTTCAAACATTGCTGAGCTTGGATCTCCAAGGTATATTTATAGCCATCTAAATATATGACAATTTTACATTCTACAGAATGATCATTATCCTCAACACTTTTTTATTTCTTTCCATCTCCACTTTTTTTTTTCTCCCCCATCTTTATATCAATTTCTGCATGCATCATTTTCACTCTTCACCACTTCCAAAATCTATCATTCCACCATTACATTTCTTTGTCTTTTCCACATTTATATCCTCCTACACTTTTACTGCTTTCAATAAAAGAAGTGGGTTATGAGAGATATTTTTCAGGTATACTGAGGAACCACTTATAATATACAATATACATGATACTGCTATCTAAATGGAGTCTGATATTTGAAGTTTTCACATCAACACACCACAAACATTGCAGTTTTTTTGGATATAGCATGTTGGACAGAAAACATCCCAACTTTTCAGAAGACCTACTGTAATGATGTAATTTGTATGTGTGACACAGAAGTACTAAATCTGCTGTACAAGTGAAGATCTTACTGGTACTACACCCAATAGACTCTGCAACTACATAGAATCTATTTGAATCTCTGAAGTTAAAAAGAAAATTTATGTTTGTAGCTGGTTTGATGCACATGGACGCCTCCAGAAATTACACCAACAAGCCATTTTAGAAGCTCAGGAACTGCAAGAGGAATCTGTGAAAGAAATGATCATCTCATATAATAAAGTATGTACTGGATTAGTTTCTACTAACAGATTTAATATTTATACACTAATAAAGCATTTAAGTTAATAAATGTGCAGAAATAGAATAATTTCAGAGAATAATATTGTAAGCTACACATGTGCCCATTAATCTGTTATATCTACAATAACATCTGCATGTAAATTTAGTACTTTTGTATCTCATATGAGTTACTTATGATATAATTATTTATAAATTTCAGATTCCCATTATTGTTCATGAAGCTATTTGTATATCAGTTTGGAAAGAAAAGGTTCTGCCTCTACTTCTCAAAATAAGACCAGAACCAAAGAGTGTATTTGTTCCATATATGGTTGTAAGTGAAACTTTATTTATAATTACCTACTTAAAATATATCAGGATGAGTCTTAAGGGTACAATAAATTACATATGGATCTACTTTTGAAAAGAAACACGCAGAACTGTAGTCAAACCGGGGTGGAACTCTGGTGTTTCAATTTGCAGAGACGTTAAATGTATAATCTGTAGCTTTCGTGGTGACTAAGTATAATGAATTCCTACCAGCCATGTACTGTACCAGTGCGCTGAGGACAAGGATGAAGATGGTTCTTGAAATGTTGATGTGTTCTTCATTAAACCACATTACACGTCTAGTAGCACGAGAGGAATTCATTATACATCTTTAATTCAAGGTAGATTATGAGGTCCCCTCCAATGGACATATAAGAGTGTATGCCCCTCTAGAAACTCAGAACAATTATGTGCTTTGAAAGTCAGGCAACATATAAAATTGTTTATTCTAGCTTTAAAATTCCCTAACTTATACAATGCTTGCTTGTTTCTTTGTGAGTTGATTATCATGTAATTCTGATGATCAAAGTGTACAGCTATCACGTAACAATGACAACAGACTCATATAATGACATGTTCTCATTCTTTCAACCTCATACTGAATGCCAAGTTATATCACTTTTATTTTGAAGAGTACACCCCTGGAAACATCAACTGCATTTATACAGTTTGGTTAAAACACAACCCCATAATCACCAGAATGTTATCTAAAACAATAACCAAACTTGCATTCAAATATCTATCATAATTTCTTGGGTATAATAGCCAACTTTCATAATTTGTGAAATTGTGTATATTTCAGCTTTTCCATGAAGCTACTGCTATTGAATTTCTGGAAACACTAGTCTATCACCCAGATAGCTGTGAAGCTTTGGGTGAAAATTCCCTTGACTTAATTGATTATTCTACCTCAGCAATCACAAGGCTTCTTGCAGGGAGTAAACAGAAAGTTTCTGAGCCTTCACACAACCTAAGTGCCTCTGAGGATTTGGAACAAAAAGAAGTGACACTTGCTTTTAACATTGGGATAAAATGCATTTCCATAATAGGATGCATTGCTCAACACTTGGATTGGTAATTATGTATTTATGTGAACAGCCAGATTGTGCATTATATCGCATTATGTTTCTTACATTATTATGCAGTCAGTGTACAAAGTGCATCAAATAAACCCAAAGTAAGGTTCATTGTAAAGACAGCATTAGAATCCATAAAAAACATTTTAACTTAAAAATACATTCAGTCCCAGTAACTTTGATAATCCTGTTAACTCAACAGCCTGCCACTGTGTGCAACATCACACATGTTTTCCATCCATGATGTCCCACTACTTCTGGTAAACATCATTGAACAGAAACCATGGACTAAACAAGGCCCATCTGGTAAAACTCTCAAATTTGAAGGTGAGTAATATGTTGTCATTAAGAGTTATCAGCAAGAAATAATAACAGCAATATGAGGCATCTTCTGGGCAATGATCAGTCACTGGATTTGTGTCTGCAATAAATGAATGTGAGGTCATGGGATACACAAAATCACAAAGAACACATGTGGAAAATATGTAACCTTAAAATGTTGACTTTTGTTAGACTATAAAATAAATCAAATCCCATTCCAAAGATTTAGAAATACTAATGTATTTATAAAATTCTATACTTGTCTCGGTGTTTCAGACTGCAAATGGCAAGAGATAAATGGTGAAGATAACGTGAAGGTAACTCGTGCAGAGGCACAAACATGGCTTGCTCTCAGACATCTCTTGTTGGATGTTCGCTGCCCTGCACACTATGATATCAATGAATACCGCAAGAATCAGCTTATTAAGGTTAGGGTATTGCTTGAAAGTCTACAACCTGTGATCAACTGCTTGTTATCAAATAAGACTTTCGCCTTTCCTGACAAGAACTCATTTGTATCTTTTAAAAATATTTTTGTTTTACTTTTCTTGTTATGAAAGGGTACTGCAAACTCTCATCAAGTATTGTGATCTCCTTTTATACAAGAGAGATCTTTGTGGTAGCCAATAAAAGTAATCAATCTCATCATCTATAGTTTCTATTCTATTTTATTCTTTACTTTTTTTGAACAACTGTGATTCCTCACTACTCAACTTTTTGGTGGTTAACAACCAAGTAATACTTACTGTTCATATAAGCGTACTGTCACACCAACACACTTATCTTAATGATGACTCTCATATTCCCCCCTTCTGGTTAAAAAATCAGATTTTCAATTTTTCACATAAAGAGCACAGTGTGAACACATGTAGGGAACGTATGGAAGGTTATGTCTGTTCCCATGTTCCTACCCCAGAAGTACAAAATGCATTTCTATGTTACACTAAAATTCAAAATGAAATTTTCTCAGACAGCTTATTGTATAACAAACTGGTATATGACATAAAACATTGATCTCACCGAGATTTACAACTTGTTTGAAAAATTGCTCACTATGGTTAGCATGTAACTATATAAAAAAATAACATACAAGTAATCGTTAAGGCTATCAAACTATATTCAAAATGTATAAAAACACACTTGGAAGAAAATATATAGTTCCACTCAATTAGAACACTTTTTGTGTAGTGCAGTTGTAGAATATTTTCTCTCTCCTCTTCAGTCACTACACAACTCTTATAAGACTTCCAGTTCAACACCAATCAAGGAATTTTTTTTTTTTGCAGCTTCAGTGCTTCATGCATGACACTCTTCTGGACCAACTGTCCCCACTTGTAGAGTTAAAATACTGGCTGGCAAAACTGGCTTCATGCAACGCTCCTTTTACAACACGTCGTCCATTACTACTAGAAGTCATACCCCAGGTGATTTTAAAATCAAACTTCAATTAGGTCTATGTAAAAGCTAATGCTTGAACATTACAAACTATTTATTTTTTATTCTATACTATATGCAATTACACATTGAAGATGACCATCTTCTGAGTTGTAGCACTATGTATCCTGGTATAAGTTTACTAGCATTTCAGAAGTCCTTGCTGCCTATGTCATCAGGGAAATTCACCCTGAAGATGGACTGGTGAGAACCTAAAATCCTAATTATACAATGGTTGAAAAACCTAATATTGAGCTGTATGTAGCAAATTTCTTGAAAGTATACACCATTAAAATGTCTGTCTGCATAACTCATTACCTCACACACCAATTTTGTTTCAAATTCTGTTGTTAGATCAAACAGACACTGCTTGAGAAGAACAACAAACGATGGAAGAAGATTGCCAACAGGCATGTGGAATCAATGTTCCATGAAAATGCGTCAGACATGAAGACCATTACAAAAAGGTGAATGCGTAAAACTGTGATCCCAATCTCTTTTCTCCCAGATGTGTTGCAACTACAACCATTATTTTCTATATACAAGTCTGAGATTTGATTAGACATTGTCTTCACAGCTTGTCAGTAAAAAATGCTGAGGGATACTTCAAAATAAGTTCCTATTGTAACTAAAATACAGGTCATGCAACTTGATGTCTTTGTGTTCGCAGCTTAAGTGAAACATATGACCTGGATACAATAGAAGCAATAGTGCTTGGACCATCAGTTTGTGTTACCTGTGGAGAACCTGCAGCTAAAAAATGTTCGCAATGCAAGACTCCGTACTGTGGAAGGTATAATCCAGTAACAATTATTAAGAACACTTAATTCCCATAATATATTCTAGGAGCAGCTTGTAATGCCCACATCTCTTTGTACTGAGGTACCAGCAGAAATTACAGGTTCATAATTGTTCAGGTAAGTGACCTATTTTATGCACCATTTTGACTGCTATAAATTCCCACTAAATTAAATTCATAAGACATGCATCAGATCTATACCAATCCCAATTTCCTGGGTGAATATGTAAGTACCTTAGGAAAAAGCAAGCTCTATTAGATGCTACAAGTAGTAAGGAAGTTGGTTTGTAAGTAAACACAGAGAAGACTAAATATATGTTCATGTATTGTCACCAAAATGCAGAACAAAACTATTATATAAAGATAACTAATAAACCCTTCGAAAATGTTGCAAGTACAAATATTTGGAAACAACAGTAACTGAAATTACATTAGATTAATGAAGAAATTAAGGGGATGTAAACTTGGGGAGTGTTTGCTATCACAGTTTACAATATGTTGTCTTTCCACAAACAATCTATAAATTAAGAGCTTCATAAGTTACTCTCTTCACCAATATTACAAATAAGAAAACAGCACACAGATGGAACAAATGAGAAATGTACTGATAATTGTACTTCAAGGATAGAATCCTCTTGGGAGAGTTGGTACAGACAGGACCTTACATAAATAAAGCATGACAAACCACAACCTATAAGTTCGCTTCATGTCTCAACTACCTGGAAGTTGAAGCATTAAATGGTGTTTAGTACTGCAGATTCCGTAGATATAATGGTTTTGTAGGTAACAGAATTTAAATGTATAAAGGAAAGCTCCAATAAGTGTAGAAACCAGAAGACTGCGAATGTTCCAGTCACATCTAGTCATCCTTCATTATTTCAACAATAAAGGCCACACCATAAGTTGAACAAAGTAGTCACATGGGAACAAATCTCTCTGACAAACCATATGAACTTTAACTAAACTCACAAGATTTACAAAATCCTGTTTAGCTTCAACATTAAATCATATCGTTCTTTTTCAGGGAATGTCAAGTCAAGAACTGGCCTAAACACAAGACATCATGTGAATTTTTGTCTAGCAAGAAGATTGATTAAATGCACATGACAGAGCAAACTATTGCTTCTACATTAATAAACCAATAAATGAAGTCATCAATGTGTGTAGATCACTGCTGAGTACAATGTATTGTGCACCATCCATACCTTGGGTCCAGATTTTATTGTAGAAACATTTCCTTCTCTTATACTGTATATATTTATGACTTCACTCAATGTGTGATCATCCTACAAGACCTTTAAATGTGGAGAAACTACATGTTTCATCACTGTAATTGATGTAAATTTAAAATTCAACATGGAATGTCTCAAATAAATATTCCTATGTTAACAAAGTATTGAGTTTTAACACATTTTACAAGGAACAATTGGGCACATTAAATGTCTTTGGACATTTGAAAGACACAGCACAAATTTAAAGATAAGCTGTACACACTGAATCTATGAAAGAAGTTCAAATATACAATTTACAATGCAGCACACTTTCACTACTTCTCCCACGAGATTGGAATGGTGCACTCTTTGTACTACACACTGACATTTCAAAGGCATTCTCAACACATGCAGTTTATTGCTCCATTGTAATCCAAGGACCCTATGCAGTTGTCAAAATATAACCTTATGCTCTGTGGGTGGTAAAAACCCCTTCAGCAACAGTCGCAAATCTTCCTGATGCCTGCACAAACAAACCTGAATGGCAGGGACCCAGATGAGACAGCCTGGAAGGTGCAAAAGCTTGTGGAGACCAGTAGAAATCCAACACATCATGGTCAAAGCCCCACAGGGCAGAAAATGGACTTTCAAAGCCCTGTTGGGCTAGACAAATCGCAGGTATCAACAATTGCATAAATTAATAGAATGAAAAACCTCCAAGAAGAAATACACAATTTTATTATATTTGGTAAGCTCTTTACATAATATTTCAAGGCTCTCGTGACTGTTTCAAGTAGTCTCTCAAAACATCAGCAGCTTGTGTCTCTTCACCATAATCCTGAAACAGAACAGATTCTCATCAAACAAATTATCAAAATTCAAACTGCATTATAATACAACCACCTGCAGAACTCACCTTAACGACAACACATGAACAACCAACAACTTTCCGAGCCTTGCCTGTGCTGTCAATCTTGCAGAGACCTGCCCATTCACCAAGCTTCTTGTTATTGTCCACCTTGATCAGTGGAATTTGGTGTTCATTGCACAGAGCCTGTACCAGTTTCTTGTACATTGGTTCATTACAGTTTTCTGCTAGTACACACAGCAAAGCCTGTCGCCTGCAATGAAAGTGTCATATACTGTATTTTGCCACAGCCAGAAGTTCCAGAAAGTGTTACAACCATTTTATCCTAATTTATAGGTCTAAAACATTCAAATTTCCTTGTAACCATCTGGACTCATGCTCAAGCTTAGAAAGTATTTTTTAAATATATTTATTATTCCTACACACACAGAAATATAATACAATTTTAACTGTCCCCAAAGACAAATCAGAAAAAGAGGTTATCTCAAAATGAATGTAATGATATTGGGCTCCATTTGGGGGGGGGGGGGGGGGGGGATGGGTTCTTGCTGCTTATAGACAGTACAAACATAAACATGTAATGTTCATAATAAAAGGGAAGATGAAATCTGAAAGTTGGACAGAAATTTTACTTTGGAGCAAGCTGTTATTACACCATGAATAACTTGTATGGAAGTACACAACACAGACATGAACACATAATGAACATACTCTTTAACAACACTCACTCCATGGTATGGTGTAGTCCTAACATCACGACTCAAAAATATACAATTTAGATTTTACATACTTATCCAAAGCTTTTGCTGCCTCATGTAAACCATGTGCCAAACTTCCATGGGTCAAAGCCATTTTCAACACCTCTTGAAGGGCTGTATTGATATCCATCCCACCGGTTGGTGATGAGGGGATGTCATCGCTGTAACAATACATATTCACTGTACTCATCACATGAAATAGTACGAAAGAAAATTTATATAATTCGGGAACATTTTCAGAAAGGCAATTCACAGCACAATTAAAAATGGGTAACACCTCAGAAGAGGGAGCCTGCCTTTAAATATCTCATCAGAAAATGTTATATCCCATAAACCACCACATTTAAAACAAGCAACATTAAGGTTAGGTATTCATTGAAAACTTACATCTCTGTGTCAGACATCTTCCAGATTTTGTATCTGAAAATCACAATAAAAAAACTACAATTAATTACTTCGCTTGTTATTTACTATTATATACAACGGATGTTTACGAATTCTTTAGATATTACACACAACTTATAACCATGTTTTCACCTCGACTCCTGCTACCGGAAAAGGATCTTGATATTCACATCACAGAAAACCAAAATCAGAGATTACTATATACAAACGTACAACTCTATGGTAATGACTAAGTTGGTCGCGGTTGTGGAAGTCGTGCATACACCATCTTCAGGCCGGGAATGAAAACAATGTCTGGAAACTTTTGGTATCTGTATGTGAGAATCATGCATGAAACACATAACACAAACAGACTTGCAAAATCTACTTACTTACGTAACTTCCAGCCTCTCCGAGCCTCCACGCTTGATTTTGGCCAATTTACCTAGTACGTGGTGCAATCTCGTGGCAGAAATTAACACAAAACATTCCCAGGAACATGATTAAAGCGCAAACTTCAAGTATCGAACATCCAACAATGGAAATTTAATCGATTTCGAGAGTATTGGTTCCAACTGTTTATCGATCGCTTCGATATAATTGTTACAGGTACCATGACAATAAATAAATAAACAAACAAACAGTTACAGATGAGTACTGTGCAAGGATAAAACAAATTGAAGCTATATACAATCGAGTAAGTAAAATTTATAGCGTTTTTGGTAATATTCCAGACAAACTGTTACATGATTATGCTATATTAGTAATTATTTAAAACAGAATAGCATTCATTAAAATTCAATAGATCTTTCATAGGCCTAAATCTGTGGAAGGGGAACACATCACTGCACAACCACAATACTTTTTGTAATACAGACATAAATGTATATCTGTAACAGTAATTTACAATTTTCTACAGAATTGCAGGAAAAATAGTAGTACAAGAAATTATCATAACTGTTGCATATATATACTTATAATAACTCAGAATTTCTGAGTCAGATAAATTCTTCTGTGGAGTAGAAGGGAGTAGGAGTGAGATAGGAGATACTATTTTAGTGATGGTTTGAACTTTTTTTATATTGTGATTCAGACTTTTCACAGGTGGTGGAAGATTATTGGAAATCTTATTTCCAGAAAATTACTTTTTGACATTTACTGAAGTTAGTACTTGCCACGTGAAGGGACAACAAACAAATAAACTTTATAATGGGAAAAAAAAAGAAGGCAGACGTACATTTACAGATTTTCACATACATTGCTAATGCATGTCAGAGTGTGTTGACATAATCTAATAATACTCTGCCAATATTCAATTAAATTTCAGTCGGAAAATAACAGCGTTCCCAGTGAACCACAAGAGAACGAGATGGCAGACGATACTAAAGGGGTAAGCAATTAAACAAATATGATGACGTCTTCGTCTCAAAACCAGTGACTTGATCGGGATCAATTCAACAACAATAACGATGCCATAGTTCATGTGGCTAGACGTCGGATTCTAACCTCTGACATCCGGGACCAGTCCCTGGTGATTTCAACTGGTGGACAAAACGGCACTGGAACCGGATGTTATCTTAGTTTTCTTCTATGATTTCCTCCTGCTGATTATCATTCCACCATTCACGATGTGTGCCATAGCCCTCGGTCCTAACTTAGAGGGCCTTCATTTCTGGTACAGCACTTGGCTGGTCTCTGAGTAAATCCAAGGTAATAGCAACCAGCCTCCAAACCTTTCGAAATCCAGCGCTTTCCTCATGTCTCTCGAATCTTTATCTTATGAGCGTTGGATGCCATAACACAGGCGTGTCATAGAGTTGGGAAATTTGGTCTCGGGGTACTTTATATGTGTGCATTAATCTTCACTCTGTTTTATTCTCATAGTTCACGCAAGGGCCCAGTGGCGGGCAGCTGTTTACTTTAGATGAAAAGAAGTTCTTCAGTCTTGTAGACGAAGGAGACGTGAACGCGGTGCAGAAATTCCTTGAAGAGAATCCGGGATTCGATATAAATTGTGTGGACTCCAAGGTACGTTCTCTGCAAATTATTATGTGTTATAATTCACACGGTAAAATCTGTACCTGCCTGCTCTCCATTTCTGTTGGATGTCAGTCAAGAGCTGATACAGTGTCATTTAATAACTGCTGTGCTACAGGGCGTGTCGGCTCTCCAAATGGCAGTCCACAACCACGACGGAGGAATGGTCACCTTTCTTTTGGATCAGAGAGACATCCTCCTTTCGGACTGCGCGCTGCGTGCAGTGAGCGAAGACCAGCACAGCATCCTTCTGCTGCTGATGGAGAGGATGGCCGTCATACACCCCGATCTGGAGTTCGCGGGTTGCCCCGACAGCGCATACTACCCCGAGTACATGACACCGCTGATGCTGGCCGCCCAGTGCGACAACTACGAGATCATAGGAATGTTAATGGAACGGGGTCACAAAATCCAGCATCCACATCCCCCCAAATGCTCCTGCAACTGTTGT